GTTAATAGTTATCAAACAAATATAAATTATTCTCTTTACCAATAGAGAGAGTCTTTCAATATTCTTTCAATATTCTTTCAATAGTCTTTCAAAATAACTTACTTTCTTTGTATATTCTTATAATCACTGATTTTTTATTTTTGTAAATACCATCATGTTTGATTTCAAATTGAATGACTTATTTAATAACAAGTAAGATTACCAATATATATTTATAAGTCATCAAGTTATTCATTAATTATAAATGTACTAAATTTAAAAATTTGTGTTTAATATAAATAAATTTTATTTTTAATTTAAATTTAAAGAAATTTAAAGTAAACAACAAATAATAATATAAATTATGGAAATCAATAATATATGAAAATGATTAAAATTAATGTAAAAGATACTATAAATGTTTGATTCTCTATATTGGGTTAGATATAATATTTAATATAAAACGTCATTCTTAGATTTGTAATGAAAGTTTAATATTCTTAATCTAAAATAAGTATTAATTTGTAGTACGAGTATGAGTTTTATTGCAAGTATAAGATATTTAAAAATTAATGTATATGTATTTATAATATATAACGTGACAGTCTTGATAAAATCAACTACATTCCATTGTCAATAAAATCAATAATTCAATAAATAAGGCTGTGAAAATAAAGTTTCTTTATATTTATTCATTTAATAAATTAATTTAAAATGCTTTTCTTTTAATTGTTAATTATAAGTATACTCAATAACATTTGCTAGACGTACATTTTAATGTACAAGGTTGAGAAAATTCGTGAAATGTCATTTCCAAAATACAATTTTCTAATATAAAATATATTTGCAGTTCCTAGATTTTCATTGGCTTATTATTCCCTTTAATAATTTTTCTTTTAATTTCGTATTTTTATTTAAAACCTTTTGATATTGTAAGATGATTGATAATCTAATCTAATAGTTATCCAAATTAAAAAGCTATTTTTCATTAGTTTCAATACTTTGATCATTTATTTACATATAAATTGTTTACATGATATATGGATAATGTACAGCCTATGTGAAATGCTATACTCTTTTATTTTTTAAGAAAGTTTTTAATAACTCTATTATATACTTTTTTAATAAAAATATTTTATTTCCAAAAATATTAAAAATGTGCAAATTATTTGTTTATATTCAACTGACTATTAATTTAAATTAAAATTAATTGCTAAAAGTACTAAAAATAATTAGAGATAAAATTGAAAAATTTCATTTATTAAAAAGCAAAATTTCTATAATATATTAATTGTATCACAAAACAAACTTGTTTTGCTCTTTTTTCTTTTTTTTAATTATTAACTAAATACAGATACAATAAAAATGTTCTTATAACAACATTATTAAATTATTTAAGATTTTTCGTTTTTAATAAATTTTAAGAGTAGATTTGGATTAAAGTTTTCAATTGCAGTTTTAAGTTTTAATTTTCAGTATGTTACTGTATTTAAGTATATATACTTTTATTACGTTTAAAATAAATTTATAAAAAATTACTTCTCAACATTCTAAAAATAAAAGTTCATTGAGTATTCACTATTTTGCATTTAATACAACATAAGTTAATATAATATAAATTAATGTAGAACTGTATATTTATATAGCTTCTACTATTTAAATGCTAAATTAACGAATGTCATTACTACTTGCCAAAAGTTATTAATCAAGGATATTTTGATATATCGGTAAGTGTATTCGGGTTTTGATCGTTTTCATGGTATGTACATAATAACATATATTTCTACAAAATAAAGTTTATCGTGTGCATAATTAAATATTTATGTTTTTGCAAGTATTTTGTTTTTTTTCATTTAAAATGGTTTAGACAATATTATCTCGTTTTAAATTAATGAAAGGTGTATAGAAATTTAACAATAATTTATTATTAAGTAATCTAGGTTCTATAATTCTTAATTTTAATTTATCAAAAAATTAGATACTGAATTCTATACTTTCTTTAATTATTATTTAAATATAATAGCTATAATTAAATATGCAAATATCTGGTCAATCAATTATTATACACAATTGTTGTGAAAGTATTAATAATTGGTTACATATATTATATTTATCATATTTAAATATTCATTCCTTTTTTATAAAAAATTTTTTATTTATAGAAAATACTTCAAATAAATAATCAGAAAATAATGGAGTTTTATTATTATAAATTAGTCATATATTTTAATATGTTCAAATTAAATTTTAATGTATGAATAATATTATATTGAATTAATTTGAATTTTAATTAAAATGTATTAAAAATTTGTATCTACAAAGTATTATATTTATTGTAATTAATTTCCATTAATTTATTTTAAATAAAATTTTTAAATTCTTTTATAATTTTTAGTTAATTTTATTAATTCAATAGTTATGAATTAATAGTGAATAAAATAAATGATTAAATTTAAAAATTATTTTTTCTGTATATTTGACGTTTCAATTTGTTTTTAGATTTGTCCAAATTAAAAATTTGGAAATCCAATTACAAATGTAAAACAAGCGCGTATTTATTTCGATTAAAAATGATTTGAAAATATGTTTCATGACATTTTCTTATACAATTATTATTAAACTATATTTTATATTCATTGAAGGATACATTATATTGAAAAAAAATCAATTGTCAACTGAATGGAAATTTGTAATAGATATCATTATTGTTCAGATAACTATTATTATGATTTTTTCTATTAAGATCTATATCGGCAATAAATTAAAATCAAATGAATCCAATATAACATTAAACATGTACAATATATTTATATATATAATATTATAATAGTATATTAAACTATATAGTTGTATATAAATTGTTAAAAAAATATGCATAGACCATAATAATGTATTCATTACTAACAAGCAATTATGGATATTTGTACAAGGATATAAAGGAATTATAGTGATTAAAGGAGTTAAGATGTCAACTATTAAGATGTTTATTTTTGTACACTTTATTATCACATTTAGCCATTTTGACATACACATTGTTTTGTTATATTCATAATGTACGTAATGAACACTGTGTAATCTTATTATGTATTCTCAAGATTCACTGTTAAAACTATAAAATCTTTTCAATACTATTATATGTTATCTTGTTCTGCTATATAATAATTATATAAATTTTTTAAGTTATTACTTAGCATTGATTACATAAATAGATCTATATGAGAATGATAATTTAATATTTACATTCAATTTATTAAATATTTTTAATATTTTACATTGTAATATTTTAATTTTATAATATCATTAATGTTACGTTGAGCATATAAAATTAAGTTATTCTAACATAAATTAATATATAGATATTGTTCTTGTTTTAATGCTAACAAAATATTCTGTATAAATATAAATTAATATCAATTCATTCATGTATTTTAATTGTTCATATACAATATTATCAATTAATCTCATTTTCAATATGATTGTTTCTATCATATAACAAAATAAGTATAATTATAATACACTACTTAAAATTATCATTAATTAAAATTATTAATAGAAATTTAATTATTTTTAAAATTATGCATTTTGACTCAAGAATAACTCGAATTAAAATGAATTATAGATAGATGTAGATAGATATATATGATTGGAAGGTTATTTTTTTTGTAAATAGTAGTTTTGAAGATCTGTTAAAATTGATATACTGAACAACTTAAAATTTTCGTACAAAAAACTAGATTTAATATATTTCAAATGATAACTGAATTAAGTTATAAATAACTAATTAGAAAAATATATTTGTGTTATTTAAACTGAAATTTATTAACTTTTTTTCGTATATATAATTTTTAAATATTGATTAATTAAAATACTATTAAAGCCTGTTATTTATTAACTATATAAAAATCATTATTTAATGGATATTGAAGTTATAAAGAATCAATTATAGAGATTTGTAATAATTAGAATAGCACGTGTAGTCATTATAAATTACAATTATTTGAAATTATAAGTAATTACTGCTAAAATAGATGCCTTCAATTTTATTTTCATAAAATTGTATACAAGAAAATGACTATTTTTAAAATTTTTATTTGTTGTATTTTACATTTTACACAAATAAAAATTATAAAAAAATCATATATTAAAATATAACAATTTATTTCTTATAATTAGTATTTTTTGTATATTATTTTTCCATTCCTAGAAATGATTTTAATATTTACATAATTAAGAATTAATTTTTTTTTATATTAAGTTATTGTTTTTTAAAATATTTTAATTCATTTGGATATCCTTATGTATGTTAATCGATTAGTGGATCTGAATATGTACTATCTGAATGTCCAAACAAATCATAAATATGGCAAACGAATTTTAATTGTATTTTATAAAATAATAACTATCAATAATTTAAATTTGTAAACTATTATTTATTTTTGTTATTTTTTGAAATTAAAATATATTTGAAACATTTTTAAAAAATTTTAAATATTTAAAAATATGTTAAAAAATTTAATAACATAAAAAAATTATTTTTCATTCAAATATTTTATATTTTTATTTTGTACTTTTATGAACTATTAGCGTTAAATTAGATTTACATTGAAGTATAAGAAATTCACCATTAAGTGATGGTTATTAACAATAAATTTATAAATTTTAAAATGAGTCTTTAACTGTAGCTATTAAAGCATGGTTTTATGAAGTTACCTTTTTTTAATAATTTTTAAAAGAAGCACTATCGTGGTATATTTGAATGAATTTCAAATTCTTAATTATATATATAAAAATGTTTAATAGTTTGAATTAATTTGAAATCTAGTATAATTAATATATAAAATAATTGAAACAAAAAATGGAACGATTAATTATAGAAAGTAAAAAAATATCTATTATAGATATTCAATCATCAATGTTAAAAATCTATTAAAATATAAAACTTGTGTTTGTAATATATCACTCACATCGAAATTTTTTATATTTGTCTGTATAAATGATGTTCTATACATATCAAAATTACTGTATTTTAAAAAAAGTCGATAAATTATAAGTAAGATAATAATATAAAAAGAAAATCTTTATAAAGCTATCAACCTCGATTTGCATTTGACCCATTTTTTCTGCAGTTTGTGCATTTCTGCAGAATGATGATCTGTCAAATCTTTTGCAATTTCTGCCATGCCAACTTGACCTGTTGATTTCAGCTTACGTAGATCAAGATTAGCACCAAAAATTTGCACACCCTTAGCCAATTTTGAAAAGGGTGATAATATATCCTTAGCAGTAGCAGCTGTCGGTAAAGATGTATTACCAACATTAGATTTTATGGATTTCAAAGCAGATTCGCTTTGAGAAGTGCTCATTGATAATATGAGATCTTGTTCCGATGATGGCCGATGTTGTAAGATACCAATGTTAGTAGTTTTAAGGATGTTATTCTATAATACAATATTAAACAATTACGGTTTAATTAATAATCGATATTAAATAAAAGTTTTAATAAATTTATAAAAAAGTGTATATGAAATTAGAAATATTGTTTTAAATTTTGCATGTTACATCTCTGAATATAAGTATTTTTCTATTTTTATATTTTTATATTTTTATAATTATATATTACAAATATATTTTTATATTTTTATATTTTTATTAGCAATAGTAAATACATATTTTAGTAATATATACAAAATAAACCTTCATTATACAAATTTAATTTAAATTTTAAAACTCTATATATAATATTTTATTACATTTATTGATATTTTAAATTATCACTATTTTCATAATTTATGCATTAAAATATCTCATAAAAATTTGTTAAAAATATATTTATATAATTTTGATATAAAAATATTATTTACATTAAATAAATCTGTATGTTTAATAAATCTCTTACAATACTTAACACGTAATGATTTCTTATTTAACTTATTGTTCTATTAATAAATATCATAATAATACAAAAATTGTTATAGTTACAATTAATAGTGAAAAATATTATCTTAAATATATAATAAAATAAATTAATACTTATATTTTTAAAAAGGTGCACATTGAATAATTAAATAAAATAATATTGATAAATCCCTATTTACCTGAGATAAAGTGGCATTAGTAAATATATAATGACTGTTCACCTCATCTGATGAATGACTAATATTTTTTGATAAATTTAACGAAGAAATAAAATTCTTATTGGAAACATTACTAAAATTCTCAACAATATTCTGTATTGTAATTTCAGGCATTCCACGTACATTTTTCTGTGATCAATAATCAAAATCATTTAATCTTGTATTTGATGTTTAGATATAAATGTCATAGACATCTAAATAGAATGTCAAAAATAGTTTATATTTCATTGATATATCATTGAATCTGATTAAACAAAATTATATTAGTGTATATAAAAATAATTCAAATAATATAGAACAGTACATAAAATAAACACTTATAATTTTTTCACCGACCTAAATAAAAATAATATTAAATAATCACAAATTTTTTCATTATTATATGCAAATCATAAAATGCAATTATTTATAATTTTATTAGTTTAAATCTAAATACAAATAGTAATTTTAAAGTCATAATTTTATAATTATATCATTGAATGATGAACTTTTACACTAAGATTATTAAAAATATATTTATTTGTTGTGATATAAAATTTAAATACTTAATTATTAAATACATTTTAGTAAGAAAACATAAAGTAAGAAATATATTTTAATAATATCTTTAAATATTACTAATTCTAAGTTTTCTAAATAAATAGTTTTTATATTACTATACTCATAGTGTTACTTTATAAATATTTATACATCAATACTAAATATAATAAAAATACTATAATACATAGATATAATATATATTTTACCTCATAATTTATTATATTGATTTCTAAATTAGAGACAGGCATATTTAATTGACCTTTCACCATTGATTCCTTACTCACTTTGTCTATATTATTGTTTTGTACACCCATAATTATTCCTATACTTGGTATATATCCTTCCATTAGATTCTTATTGTAATAGAAAATGTTTTTTTTTTCTTTTTCAATTTCAACACAGTTACTGCTGTTACTATTGTTAGTACCACTATCTGACTTATGTACTGTAGCAGATAGCTTGTATTTGCTACTCATAAAAATCGGCTTGATATTATGAATAATTTCAGATTTCGTACTATTTTTAGTGAGTTCCATCGGTCGTTTTGTCGCTAAACTCTGACTTAATTTATTTAATTTACTGAATTGTTCTGACATATTACTTAATGCTTTTGTACCTACATAAAATTTTGTTTTAAAAATTCATTATAATTTATAAACTGATTTTATATAATTTTATCTTTTAAATAAATGAAGAGTAATTAATTAATTATATTCTCTTTTAGCGTTGCTTTAAAACATTAAATTTTATTTTTAAACGTAGGTTGTTCTTCGTGTGTAAAAGAAATAAAATATTTCAAAACTTAACATATAATTTCAATTATAATATATATTAATTTTAAATATTCTTTATCCATATTCGTTATATAGAAAAAAATTATTAGATGTTTTTAATAATTCTTTTATTATTGATATAACTTAAATAACTTGATATAAATTAAATTGATATAATTAAAAGTGATATCATTGATATAATGTTATACTTAATTTATTAAAAATGTTCGTATAATATTATGGTTCAAAAGCGAAAATAGAAATAGTAATTATAAAATATACTCACCCACACTTTTAAGTGCATTAAGTTGTGTTTCAGAAATATTTTTCGTTATTGCAGGAAATGACGATATATCTAAAAGACCAGCATGAGTTTTTATATCAACTGTTTTACTCTTTCGTTTATCAAGAACTGCATTCTTGATGGTTAGTATTTTAGGTAAACTTGCAATTTCCATTGCTACATATATGGCTTCAACTATAGCTTTTAAAGATTCTTTAACAGAAGTAATGAATAAGCAAATTATTAATAAACTTTCTTTAATATGTATTTTTGGAAATAAAATAATTCAATAATTCACCTATGCGCTCCTCGTCTGTTTTAATAACTATTGCCATATTATTGAAAAATCGTAAATTTGTACTCCGAAACATATGAAAATAGCCACAGTCGTCATTTATTTTATAATTTATTCTAATACAATAGTGATTTTTATTTTTAAACAAACATACTGTGTTTTCAATTTGTCCACATTCAATTAAAACAATATCTTTTAACAATACTCTTTGATAATTTGTTACTTTATCGATTTGTTCATCATAATCAGCTACATAATAACTATCGTGGGTCAAAATTAAAATACTATCCATTTCTGTTTCAGTGGAATCACCTGTTCTGGAAATTAATTAGAAATTTATTAATTCATATTATAGTTATTCCATCATTTTTTATTAATTTAGTAATCATGATTAATCATGATTAATTAATTAATCATGTTTTATTAATTATACCTAAGTATGTTTGTATATGCGAATACACATATTTACATACAATGAATATGCTTATAATTTTCAACTAAATTATAATATAATAAAAAAATTAATAACTTACATGGGATCAGCATCAATTAATCCCCAACAATTGAGAATTAATTCAGAATTTGGAATAAGTAACTTTTTACAGTCTTCAATTAACAATTTTACATGAATAGCTGTTGAAACATTATCTTCCTCCTCTGTTCTTTCATAAAACAATTCATCACTTACCAGATTACCCAACATCATATCAATAGTAGCTTGTCGATAAACATCTTTAAATCGATTTAAATAATATCTATAATTAAAATTATTACACAATCAATTTAAAAAGGAATAAATATGATATAAATCTAAATCAAATATAATCGATGCAATCTGAAATAGTGTGTAAAAAATAAATTATGTGAGTATGCAGTATATTTATATATTCATTATACCACTTTAATAAAATTAAATCGTGTCTTCAAATTCGTAAATATAAATTTATTTTTTAATAGAAAAGTTATTTATAATTATATCAATTTTCATTAAAATAAGTGTTTAAAAAAAAATGAATGAAATTGCAATAAAATTTCATAAGCTGAAAAGAAGCGATAAAATCTTACTAAAACATACGCAAAATTGACGTAAAGATGTTTGATATGTTATAAGATGGAACGATTTTGATAAATATAATAAATTCTTGCTGAGTTTTTCAAAGTGCATTAAATATCATAAAAATATATTTATCGTCATCTAAAGAATATTATTTAAAATAATTTGTATATACAGTAAATAAGAATATTTTCATTAATTTTTGAGAAAAAATTATAAAAATTATGTTTACTAATTAAAGAATAAAAAATTTATAATTTTAATTATATACTATATATTTATATTTTAATGCATATTAATAAAGAGACGATTCTAATTTAAAAAGCATTTTTGTTTGTATGGTGTATGTAGTTGTACATAAACATTTGATGCAGTGCCATGAAATATTTAATAATTATTTTACCTATTAGCAGAATTCATTCCATCTTTCATTAATCCTGTAAATTTTCTTTCTCCTGTTCTTGTATAATCTCCCTATTAAATTGAAAAATAATAATTATTGAAATCTTACTTATTATGAATTTTTACAAATAGATTCAAGTATTTTATGAAAATGACATTAAAACAATTAATTTATATTTTTATTATTCATAAAAAGAATTAAAACATTCGTTACGTTTCAATGTATAAAAATTAAGTATAATAGCAAAAGATTTAATGAGGATTTAAAATAGTAAGAAAAAAAAATTAATTGCTTTTTTTAATCCAATAAAAAAAATAATAACTTTCAAAGCATTAGTCCCTGCATACTGTTTACTAATAATATCGCCATTATTTGCCCACAATAATTGAAAGGTCTGACGAATATTCGTTGGTAGACTTCCATCAGGTGGTATAAGTCCTAGTTTAGAAAATTGTATTTCCATCATAGCTTTTCCAAGAGCTGTTTGCACAACATTTGTTCTATCCAAGCAATCAATGCAATTTACACGAAATGCACCCTTTTGCATACAAATTGTACCCTGCTTGTCATGCCAACAATACCCCATTTCTGACAGAACAATCGCTAATGATGAAACGAGCAGTGAGACATTCTCAAAATGCATTCCACGACTACAAATTAATTAAAAAAACTATTAATTTATTAAAAAGTTTTCTTTATTCCATTTTATTATGATTTTACTTTAATATAAAGTTACTTTTAGAAATATTTATAATATAATTATTATATATTATTAACAAAAACAATTGTTAGATAAAGATTTTTTTATTTTCTCATTCATAAATCAATCATATATTATATGAAAAATTAAAATTATAAATTTTTTCACTAAAAAACTTACCAATACTCATGAAAATCAAATGTAGTATAAGTAATCTCTTCGTGGTTATAATTTAAAATATGATTACTATAAGCTTCCCAAATGATACTTTCTTTGCCATTTTGTTCTATGAGATTGACAATACATATAGGGCCATAACAATTCAATTCTTCAGTAAAATGTTTTTCAAATGCTACTTTTGTTTCAGTTTTATCTATGCGATTAAATATTAATTAAAGTAATTATATAATAAAATTTTAATTTGAAATAAATTTAAAACAAATCATCTTATTATTATATTAATAAAAAAATTCATATTTATTACTACTAACGATTTTTTTTCATCCATCTTTTAAATATTTATTTAAATATAAAATTTTCCTTCATTGTTTAAAATTTCTTCGATCAATAATACAGTTGCAAATGTTAGTTTTTGAAAATAAACAATATTCACCTCTGTCGATTCTAGGTGGTGGTTTATATTTATAACCACGCTGAGACCAATAAATGGGTACACTTCCACGAACTTGAACAAAAGATACTTGATGATCGTTATACCAAATTAACTGTTCTGTTTCAACATAATTAGCACACTTCCCATTTTCATCAACACCCCGTCTCTTATATCTGAAATAATATTTGAATATATCATTTAAATACAATGTTTAATTTTAAATATTTAAAAGCAACATTTATAGAATAATACCTAGTTCCTGCGCGAAATTTACTTCGTCTTGATATAATAGCTAAATTAAATATCTCATATAATGGCTGTCGATCATATCCTACTTCTACTTGACATTTTTCAATTTGGATATACCCTTGTATTATCGGTAATATCCAACAGTCTGCTTTTTCTGTCTACAAAAGGTACAGTAAATAAATAATAAACGGAACGTTCACAATATAATATAAATTTTGCAATAGCTTACATTTAAATTAATAATATCTTGTAACATAAATTTATTCCAAAAAAATCTATCGTCAACTATACGCCAATTTTGGTTCTTTTCATCTTTTTGATTTTGTTGTTCACAAAGCCTCTGCAAACTATTCGTAATATCTCTGGTTTCACAAAAAAAAAAAGAGTCTGTTTCTGTAAAAATTTTAATTAACTCTTCTAAAATACGTTTTTCAAATTTTTCTTTATCCTTGATACCTGTTTTTTTCATAACGGTTAATTTAACTTGAGATGTAGCAAGTGCAGCTGCCTGTTGCGTTGTATTTTTAATAGTATTTGTTGCATTTTTTATGGTATCCCATGTTTTCACAAAGCTAGTTTTTTGCGTGTCAAATAAGCCACTGCTTATTTGTTTATTCTTATGTACATTTTGATGTTTCGAACAAGGAAACAAATCTATATCAAAGTTTTCTGAACCAAGATGTAAAAATGCAACTGACTTTATTTTATAAACTGCATGACCACCTTGCAATTCTCCAACTGCTGTTATTTCTTTAATTAACACCAAACGAGTTTGCAAGACATTTGCCTGGTCAATTTTCCCAATAATTCCATAAAATAAACCGATGCATTCTAAATCATTCGCGTTTGCCCATTCCCAATCTGTAATTATTCAATAGGTTGGATTAAATAGTTTTGAAGTTTGTAAAATTAAAATTCTAAAGAAATTTTCAAACTTTATAACATCTTTTATTTAAAAAAAAAAAAAAAATTAAAATATTTGCATGCATTTAAGTCTAAGATGTATCCTTGAAGGAAATTAAAAACTTATTACATCATAAGAGATAAATTTGTTTTCATATTAAATTGTATAAGAAAAGTTTATATATGAAAATTAGATATAATGAATTTAAAGTTTACAGAACTGACGTTCTTGACAAGAATTTCCTACATTATTCGTCGACAAATTATGTACAATTTTTGTTACTGATTAAAATTTATTTATATTTTTTTAATAAATCTTTTCTTATATATTTATTTCCAAATTACATATATTGAGATGTAATTTGGAGTTTAATAGATTTAAACATTACAAGTAGATAAACATGTAGGTAGAATTATAACGCACAAGGTGGTTAATAAATGTAGTCAAAAAGTAGCATTTTATTTTCAGACTCTAATAGATGAATTAATTTTAAATAATCATATAAATATTTAATATTAACATTAGTATGGAATTTTCAATTCAATATTTTAAAAGTTACGATATTCTTGAGTGTTTATAGTATTAAATTCAGAAAAAAGCTTCTTCAATTTACTGGTCAAGGGATTGCATACAATTTTCTATGAAATCGAATTTATTGACTAATATTTAATAACAATATAGTATCACCATTAAAATCGGTGGTGACTTAAGAACTTTATTATTATGTACCTTCGAAAAATTTCAAACAACTAAAATACAAGAGATAAAATATAAAAGATTGTATATTTATTTTTAATATTCTAATTAATTTATTAATTTAAATCTATTATATAATGTTTCAGTATAAAAATTCACATAAGACTTAGACTTCAATAGGCTATTGTATCTCCTATTTTATTTAATGTTAAATTAAATAAAACATTTAAGAAAAAAGAGTAAAACAAATATTTTCTTTATATATTTCAAATACTTTTTATTTTTAGTTTAAATATATATTATAAAATTTTTAAATTAAAGATATTAATTTACTTATTTTTTGTAATCTATTTCATTGTATATATTACACTGAGTATATTATATTTATACTACAAATTTTTGTATTTACTTCTTTGACGTTTCTTCACATATATATACATATCTCAGATTATATATTGTGACACATTATTAAGACAATAAACCTAAACTTAGATAATTTTGTAATGAAGGTATTATCTACTTTGATTCAGCACTGTCTTGAGGTAACAGAGTGCTATACTTTAATTACTTTACTTTACTCGAAACAATGTTTTCCTTCTCGATCAATTTATGATGAATTTAGGCCTCTAGCATTGATTGTAATAAGTGCCCTATACAGGATAGAATAAAAAATTGCAGATTTCAATTTTTTTAAACAATAATTTATTCTTTTCACATAAGAGTAACTAGTTGCCGATTGGAGGCAATAAAAATAACTGTTATTAAGGCGATATAAATAAGCTCTCTTTTAACCTCATCCGATCTACTTTTAATATAAAAAATTCTTTTTTATATAAAATAAAAATATTCTGAAATTGAAATTCTTTTGAGGATTACTATATAAAAAAACAATACTAATGTACTTAAAAACTAAATAATATTACGTATTTAAAAACAAGTTATATACATATTATATATTCTACATAAATTACGCTTGGCTTTCTTATTTCAAATTATAAGCTTATTAAATACCATATTTGTTAAAATCAAAAGAAATTCAAATATTTTACGAATAACAGTATTTAAATTACGAATTACTTTAAATAAAAATATTTGTTATTACACAAATTAATAATTAAACTATTTTTCAAATTATTTATAATTTTTTAACTATAGCTGTAAAATATATTTTCTATATAATTTTATACTTAATACATTATTCAAACTATTTCTTTTAAAGCCATATTATAACACCTCTTATCTAACGAATTAAAAATATATATTTATTATTATACAAAATATACCTGGAACATTAATTAATATTTTTTAGTAATGAATTCTTAATTTGTATATTTCAATCATTTAGATAATAAAATGAGTTATATAAACAATATATTAAATGGTTGCTAATTATTAAACAAATACTTTTATTAGTTTAATGTAGCATGCATTTAATGAAATTTTTTATCAGAAAATAAGAAATATCATTATTTACAGCTAAAATTTATAAGGTACTTTGTTTATGGAATCAATTAATTTGCAAATTGACAAATAGAAACAAATTGTGGTGTTTTAATACCATATTTGATATTTTTAATTATATAATAACTTTATTATAAATTTTCAATACATACAAGTTTAATAATAGAAAATACTATAAATATAAATTTAAATTAAATTTTAGGTCTTATAATATTATTTTTAAATAATAAAATGTATTGGATCTTTATAAGCAAAGTTTTTATTTTTAAAATGTATAAGTGAAAAATAAATTTACTTAATAATTATGATTGGTAATACATACATATCAATTTAATATTAAAATACGTGAGCAAATTAATTTTTTTGAATAATTGTTATTAAAAACACATACATACGAGACTACATATAATCAAAATTTATATCATTTTAATATAATCAAGTTTATTGTTAATTTATTGTTGTTACATTAAATATAAATTAAGTTAATATATATATTATATAAATACAAGATTGATCAGAATAAGGGCATAATATATGAATATAAAAATACATAACTAATTATAATGTTTATTTAGTTTTATTTTAATAAATTTTATTGCCAAATAAGTTATATAAAAAAATACAAAAAGGAATTCAAATATTTATATTTTCATTAAAATAATAAAGCATAAATGATTATTCCAAATTAATAATTATAAATAAATTTAATAAAATGATTTTTAAAGTAAATTTTTAATACTTTTTAAATGATTCAAATGTGAAATAAAATACCAAAATATTTAAATATCGTTGAAGATTTTATTATTTATTAAATTATCAAGTGTATTTAAATGTAATTTTATAAAATATTTTTGTAAATATACAATTTATTGAATCATTAATTTATGAAAGTATTATAAATAACATATAGAACATAAATATATTGTAGAAGTATAATTATTTACATTTATTTAATATCATAATGAAATATATAATGCAGTGTTGGAATAAAATCATGTAGTTGACTGTATTTTTTACTACTTTACCTGATTCAGCAGAAAATTTGCCTGTTTGCTTATCCCACCAGAGACTGTAATTTTCCTTTACAAAGATAAAATGCTTATCACTTCGAAAGAGCTCCATTTGGTCGTAAGTAAATTTGACTTAGCGATTAAAATTTTTATTGTCTTTAAATTAAAAGTTTTATTGTCTTATTATTTGATGATTTTTTTCATAGCAAAAATATCTTCGTTTTTTTGTCTGATTCCACTTACTTAAGTTCAATCGATTCAATTTTGTTTGAGAGCCCATTTGTAATTTGTTTGTTGAATAACAATGGTAACAAAATATTTAAGAGGGGGAAAAACAAAAGAATCTGGGGGAAGTAAATGTTACTACAAATGAAGCAAGGTGCCATTTTGAGGTAATACTTGTATTGATTTTTGTAATAGTTAGAAATTAAATATAAACACATCCTATATAAATTACGTAAAAGCATAGTTAGGTCGTAAAATTTAGTTACAGAAAGTGTCAAAAATTTTTTTAATAAAAATAACTTTATATGTAGAACGTTTTTTAAATTTATAAATTCTTTTCGCTAGTATTTTTACGTAAATATAGAAGTATTGTACTCTTGATTACTTTCATTAGTAAATTATTTATATAGTATATTATATAGAGCGCTTTTACTAAGTGATACTTTCGTTTTCAATTACTTTCCTCTCCATCGTTTCTTATTATTATACACGTGTTTTAATCACTGATATGTTGAATAAGATAACAAAAAAAACTACTTTTTTCGAACATAAATATTGCACTATATTAGACCTGCGAATTCCGTTTTCTAGATTATGTACACGATGATAATTTTTTTTTTTACATTTGCATTCACTTCAAGTTTGCTTTGAAAGATGGAAGAAATAAGTAATAGAATAGTAATAAATCACGAAGTGTAATTGAAATTGCTAAATATATATTAATGATAAAAATACAGTATAAGTATTATAAAATCATAAAATATAAAATAGTAATAAATTTTTATAAAGTATATATCATTTATTAATACCCATTATTAAAAAGCACCTGCAAATTTTATATGCACTAAATATTATTTAAAAAGTTAATATTTTATTTATATTCATATCTAATAATGGATAAGTTTTTGTTGTATGCATAAAGTACAGCATTGATTGAAAAATTGATAGCTAAATTTTAAAAGTCTTTAATTGAATCATTTTTTTATGAACCACTAATTTTTATATAGTATATTGTAGTAATTTTTACTGCTTAAAAATAAATTTTTTTATTCTTATTAAACTTCTGAATTAAATTATTAAATTTATATTAATAAACTTTATTCTTTCTTAATATGTGTGTAAAGTTATATGCTTTTATTTCAATTACATTTAAAATTACAAATTCAAATTAACAGTTTACATTGATGTATGGTCTTTAAATTTAAAAAGTCTTTAATTTAAAAATCATTAACTTTATAATCAATAATTAAGCTCGTATCATTTTAGTTTAACTTGTATGATATCAACAAATTATTTTTAAATGCCCATATAAACTTTATAATTATTTTTAGTTTTATAATTATTTTCTAATTTTTTTATATTTATATTCATGTCTATATTCATATAATATTTCATTAAACTTCATTTTTATAATTGTAATATTAGGAATTTTTAATATTTCAATCAAAAGTATTTCATTCGAAATAGTTATTTTGTTATAATTTAGTCTTAGTTAGGATTTTATGTTTGAAATTTAAATAAATTTTAAAACTAATTGGGTTCTTTTGGATATATTATTTATTTTTATTTTATTAATAAGTATTTCTCAAATAGTTCTATTTTAATCAGATTGTTTTAATTTAATAACGCAAATGAAAATGTCATTTTATCTCATTGTGTAAGACATTTTTAATTCATTCACTTTCGTATTTTCAATCCTAAAAATATCTTACTTCTTAAATTCTTGCTAATTTCTTAGAAATTGATTTCATTTTATATATATATATAATTAATTAAATATCAAATATATTAAGTATTTCATTTATACAAACATACTGTTTAATTAAAAAAATATAAATAATTAAATAATATTAACTAATACTTTGATTTATTTTTAACTACTTTACTTCAAGACAATTGATATAATAATTAATAAGTTTTTTAATATGACTGTATTATGTAAATGAACTATACTGGATAAACAATAAATTAATTAATGACTATTTTGAGAGATTTCGTAATCATTTCAGATAGCAGTATATATGCATTATATAAGAAGATGTGAACTTCTGGATGCATGTAAAGTATTCTCTTTATGTTATAGGTATGTTCTTTATGTTATATAATTTTTAAGATTAACAGTAATATCAAAGCCATTACCTCTTAATCGAAAATTATAAGATCATTGATTTTTAAGTTTTCCAAAATTTATCAACATTGAGAAGTATTAATTTATTTTCTAAAACTAAAAGGAAAATATAGCAAATTATATTTTGCTGGAGTAATACAATTTAAACTACCATTATAAATTGTAAAAATAGTTTAAGATTTATTTTGAAATGAGTATCCTTATGTATTTTTTATCATGCAAACTCGTAAGAAATGAATCTGAAACGGCAATGTTAAGTTATACAAAAATTTGAGAAAAGGATTTAGAGATCAGTTAAGTAAGCAGTTACCTAACTTAGAGATTTACTACAGCACATATAGAGTGCTCTAAATGATTTTTGTTATCGAATTTTTTAAAAAGATTTTAGGAGATTAGGAGTTTCTTATCAATATGGAGCAATATGTTTTTTTTTATTTACAAAAAGAATAACGACAATTATGTTTCTAATAATAATTATTCTATTATATTTTGCAATTTCGAATTTTCTGCTAATATGTTAAAGATGAAAAAAATATTGTGTAAACTGTTTTGCTTATGTAATTTTAAATACAGAAATGGTAATTAACACATTTTAGGAAAGTAATGGTACACCTTCAATGTAGAAAAGCGCAATCAGTTCTTATTAGTTTTCAATGTCCAATAATGATTGTAATTAATTATAATTACATTAATTACATTTACATTATTTATTCCAAACTATATTTTAATCAGAGTTTAATACAATTTTGTAATAAGTTTATGAAACAAAAACATATTTTTAATAAATAACATGGAATATTATATTTTATTTGTTTAAACAGTGTATTGGAATACACTCACGTATTCATATAGAAAATACACACACCTGTATACAAATATATATAATAATAATTGATTATATCAGTTTTACAGTAGAAAATGTAGAAATAAATGAATCGAATAAATTTAATGTAAGCATTTATCATTTTTTTTTATTTTATTTATAAACATATACATATTAAATATTTTTAAAATAAGGATTAGAATATAAAACCTCAGCAATAAATTCTTCAAATGTACTATTGTAAGTAAATAAAACAATATTTTATTATATTTTCTTGGAGTAATTTTTCACTCTAATATTGTTAAGTATTTAAACATATTATAGAATTACATTTTTAAATCATAAGAATCAATCTTAAATTTCGATCTTCATTGCGCATGCGTTGGACAAACATTTACGTCATTCGGTGCATTCACATTTTGCTGATGTGATCTAATAAAATAAATATCCATTAAATATAAACGTCTATATATAAATATTTATGAGAGCTAATTTTATTTATTTTATTTGACTGTTATTTTTTATAGGAAGTTTGATTAAGTGCATCGTGCATTAAATTAATATAAAATTTTTGTTACAAAAGTGTTAATCTAGATATTTAGTCTAAAAAAGTATATAATGCGTTATTATTTATATTATTAAGTATTTCATTTATACATACTGCATTTTTTTACAGATAACATGACCAAAGATTTAGATATTCCGCCTGATTCTGTAAGTATTCTGTAAAATTATTATAATTTTAAATACAAAGAATGTAGAAATAAAATCAGAAGTATAGGTTATATTGAAAAATATACATTTTGTTTCTAAAATTTTATTTTAAATTATAATTATTGTAAATAAAATTGTTTAAAATTTAAAATTATTATATATTTTATGAAATTATTCAAGTAAATAAATTTATTACAAAATTTTTATGATGAATTAATAATTTAAGACAAATTAAAAAGTATACCTCATTTATCCTATAACTAATAACTAGGAAAATTATATTTAAAAATGAATATTATTTGGTTAAAGATAATATTTTTTATAGTTGTGTTGTTAAAAATTTATTTAAAATTTAAAACAATAGTTTCTATTACTTGAAAAAATAATTAATAATTAGATAAATATTATGATAATTTGAATGTTTTGTAATAAAAAAGAAAACATTACATTTTCATTGTTAGAATCTTATTATAAATAGTTTGATAAATATTTAATATTTGATAAATATTATTAATATAAATTAAAATATTTATTTTAGTCAAAGCTAGATGTATCATTGGATTCTTTAAAAAAGACAATAAAATCAACTGCTATAGTTAAATATTCTACTGTGTTAACCCCAGCAAGTTTTGCTCAATTACAGTGCAATACAGATTTAAATCTTCCCCCTAGTAATTGGTTAAGTACATCAGTAGAAAGTTATGGATTACAGAATGTTTGGTCTCATAGCACTGGATTTTCAAGCTTTCGTATGGCTCACATGTTCCCTGATTGTGTAGGAGAAGTAGATGTTATATCAGATGCAGAGAATATAAAAAAACTTTTAAAATTACCTTATAGCCATAGTTTAATATCTATGATTGTACATAGAGTAGAAAATACTTTATTACTTGATGATTTTGACATTCATAAATATCTTTTGCGACAAGCAGAAAATGATTGGGAATGGTTAAAAAAATTTTTTTATGATCATGTCTTTCAAAGTTTAGGTGATAAAGAAAAAAGATTTTTTCCTAAAGCAAATAGTAGAAATGCTATTCAGCAAAAAAATTTGATTTCAAAATTTTTGTATCATTCATTGGTACCTGCTGATGACAAAAAACCCAATAATGAAAAACCTACTCTACCAGTGAATCCACTTCAACCCTCATTACCTGAACCTTCTAGAGAAGAAAAATTACCTGATCCTAATTATAATCATAACTTTTCAAGAAATGTTGTTTGGACATTTGAAAATATACAAATGTTAATTGGTACAGATATGCCTATTTTTGGTGGCCAAACACATCCATGTATAAGTTTAAGACTACGTGATGCTACAAAACCAATTAATGTTTTAACAGGTATAGATTATTGGTTAGATAATTTAATGTGTAATGTGCCAGAGGTGGTTATGTGTTATCATCTAGATGGAATAGTACAGAAATATGAATTAATAAAAACTGAAGATCTACCTAATTTAGATGATGCTAAATTTAGTTCAAAAGTTATAAGAGATATTGCTCAAAATATCTTAAGTTTTCTTAAGAATAATGCTACAAAAGCTGGACATACATATTGGTTATTTAAAGGTAGTTCATATTATTGTAATTAAAAAAATTTAAATAAATTATTTAAATATAAAAGTGAATGAATATAATATTGCACTTTAATATTATTAAGTTTAATCTCATATTAAATCAAATATTTTCATATATATACATTTTCATAATCATGATTAAAATGATATAATTTTAAATATTTCAGATATTTACATATTTATATATAAATACCATGTAAACATTTTGTTTATTTTTATGTAGTAACTTAAGACTGATTTTTAAATAAATACAAATATTTTGTTTATATATACAA